ACATCGTTAGAGTTCCAGTACCAGAACCATTACCAGAAAGGAACATCGTTAGAATTACTAGGACCATTGCCAGAAAGAGACATCGTTAGAATTACCAGAACCAGAACCATTACCAGAAAGGAACATCGTTAGAATTACCAGAACCATGGCCAGAAAGAGACATCGTTAGAATTACCAGAACCATGGCCAGAAAGAGACATCGTTAGAATTGCCAGAGCCATTGCCAGAAAGAGGCTTCGTTAGAATTACCAGAACCAGAACCATTAGCAGAAAGGAACATCGTTAGAATTACCAGAACCAGAACCAGAACCATTACCAGAAAGGAACATCGTTAGAATTACCAGAACCATGGCCAGAAAGAGACATCGTTAGAATTACCAGAACCATTGCCAGAAAGAGACATCGTTAGAATTACCAGAACCAGAACCATTGCCAGAAAGAGACATCGTTAGAATTACCAGAACCAGAACCATTACCAGAAAGGAAATATTGTTAGAATTACCAGAACCATGGCCAGAAAGAGACATCGTTAGAATTACCAGAACCATTGCCAGAAAGAGACATCGTTAGAATTACCAGAACCATGGCCAGAAAGAGACATCGTTAGAATTACCAGAACCATGGCCAGGAAGAGACATCGTTAGAATTACCAGAACCATGGCCAGGAAGAGACATCGTTAGAATTACCAGAACCAGAACCATTACCAGAAAGGAACATCGTTAGAATTACCAGGACCATTGCCAGAAAGAGACATCGTTAGAATTACCAGAACCAGAACCATTACCAGAAAGGAACATCGTTAGAATTACCAGGACCATTGCCAGAAAGAGACATCGTTAGAATTACCAGAACCAGAACCATTACCAGAAAGGAACATCGTTAGAATTACCAGAACCATGGCCAGAACGAGACATCGTTAGAATTACCAGAACCATTGCCAGAAAGAGACATCGTTAGAATTACCAGAACCATGGCCAGAAAGAGACATCGTTAGAATTACCAGACCCATTGCCAGAACGAGACATCGTTAGAATTACCAGAACCAGAACCATTACCAGAAAGGAACATCGTTAGAATTACCAGGACCATTGCCAGAAAGAGACATCGTTAGAATTACCAGAACCAGAACCATTACCAGAAAGGAACATCGTTATAATTACCAGACCCATTGCCAGAACGAGCCATCGTTAAAATTACAGAACCATGGCCAGAAAGAGACATCGTTAGAGTTCCAGTACCAGAACCATTACCAGAAAGGAACATCGTTAGAATTACTAGGACCATTGCCAGAAAGAGACATCGTTAGAATTACCAGAACCAGAACCATTACCAGAAAGGAACATCGTTAGAATTACCAGAACCATGGCCAGAAAGAGACATCGTTAGAATTACCAGAACCATGGCCAGAAAGAGACATCGTTAGAATTGCCAGAGCCATTGCCAGAAAGAGGCTTCGTTAGAATTACCAGAACCAGAACCATTAGCAGAAAGGAACATCGTTAGAATTACCAGAACCAGAACCAGAACCATTACCAGAAAGGAACATCGTTAGAATTACCAGAACCATGGCCAGAAAGAGACATCGTTAGAATTACCAGAACCATTGCCAGAAAGAGACATCGTTAGAATTACCAGAACCAGAACCATTGCCAGAAAGAGACATCGTTAGAATTACCAGAACCAGAACCATTACCAGAAAGGAAATATTGTTAGAATTACCAGAACCATGGCCAGAAAGAGACATCGTTAGAATTACCAGAACCATTGCCAGAAAGAGACATCGTTAGAATTACCAGAACCATGGCCAGAAAGAGACATCGTTAGAATTACCAGAACCATGGCCAGAAAGAGACATCGTTAGAATTACCAGAACCATGGCCAGGAAGAGACATCGTTAGAATTACCAGAACCATTGCCAGAAAGAGACTTCGTTAGAATTACCAGAACCAGAACCATTACCAGAAAGGAAATATTGTTAGAATTACCAGAACCATGGCCAGAAAGAGACATCGTTAGAATTACCAGAACCATTGCCAGAAAGAGACATCGTTATAATTACCAGAACCAGAACCATTGCCGGAAAGAGCACTCGCTGGAATACACAGAACCGGTGACAGAGCGACACACCGTTAACTTAACCAGCATCTATTTTATTATTGGGAACTAGATCTTCATAACCAAAATAAAACGAAACTATTGTGCTTTCCTACTCCACAACTAAACCTATGTAGAATCACAAAAGCAGGTATCACGGTTCATGTCAGTGTATTTTCATGACAGAGTCATTTCAGCAGTCAAAGAAGATACACACTACAGTGTTGTTTTATTCATTGAGATAAATCTGCCGTTATGATGCTTTTGTCAAATGGGAGATGTATAGTTTTTGAAATGACAATTAAATTATTATTGTATCGTTACATTATGATGTAAATGTTCCAGGTACAAGTGTTGCCTAGTGTAATGTAGGTTCATACGGTGAATTCTGCGGAATCTGCTAATTCTCCAGTCCAGATTCTCTAGGTCTGGGTCTCTCGCTCAGAATCTCTAGATCTGATTGTCCAGCTCCGATTCTCCGGCTCCCTAGTTCATATCCTCTCGATCTGATTATGTGATTATAGCTTTTCTGATGTAAAGTCAACATAGAAACGTTGCAGTATTAATACTTTATGGACATATTTAATCACACGTGCTTGACCAGTTTAATTTGAAAAGCGGGAAAAGCGCAAAAAAAACGACAGACGAAAGCGTTCCCTAAACGAAAAATTCCGCCACAAAGGGTATTCCCCTTACTGGGGTTAAAAAAAAGGTTCCCGGTGTTTGCTGGCCTGCGCAATACCAACGCACGGATTGGCCCCCAGCGGTAGTTCATTGGGGGTCTCCCTACTTGTCCACCATCTATTTTTATGAATGTATTTTCACCCGACTGTGGTACGACAATAAGGGATTAAGTTGGCATCTCATACATGTATATGAATTGGTGAATATCTCGCAAAATATAACGACTCAACTATTGGTGAACTATTTTCACATACACTGTCCTGAGTGAAAACTTTTAAAACGTTTATCGATGAGTGAGTTTGATATTCATAATTTATTACGATTTGGCCTACAAAAGGAATTACAGACAAGACACCGCATTCCACATTTCGCAAATTCACAGGTTGATGTAGAGTATATTCCCATTTCAATGAGTGAGTGGCACTTGTTTTTCCACTCATTAGAGTGAATGAATGAGTGAGTATGGTTTTACGTCACTTTTAGCAATATTCCAGGAATATCACGGCGGGGGACACCAGAAATGGGCTTCACGCATTGTACACATGTCTGGAGTCGAGCAAGAGACAACCAGAAACCAGTTAGCGATAATCACAAAACAGTTTCACTTATTGTTGGACTGTGAGTTGTGAAGGGAAAACGTACACATTTTGCCTTCAGCTTAATTAAACACGATGGGTATTTCCTCCTGGTCAGATGTTGGACAAATAAGAAGTACAGTAAAGTACGGTTATAACGAACTCAAAGGGACTACTAATTTTAGTTCGTTATAACCGTAGTTCGTTATAAGCATATATACATCATAATACAGCTAATTATCGGGACCAAAAAAGTTGTTCGTTATATCCGTCAGTTCGTTATAAGCGAGTTCGTTATAACCGTAGTTTACTGTAACCGTTTATGGTACCCAACAGGTTTTTATTAATGAAATGCTAGTACCAGATTTTCATACCAATATACATTATTGTTATTTTTGGAGTATTAACTGAAACAGCAGAAACACTACGTGTATAGCTGCTTAGAATCACACATTAGCCAATGAAAACCTTAGACATGCAACGCTACACCGCTGCACCGCAACGCGGCTACCTTAATTTGGGTCACGCCCCCAAATATGTTTGTTTCCTAAGCTGATTACGAAACGTGTGATTTCAGCACTTTTATTTGGACATTAAATATTAGATATTAAATACCTTATACTGATGATGTTATGATTTTTTCCCCTCGGAAATTGACTTAATATATATTAGGCAATTAATGTTCACAAAAAAAAATCAAATGGTTTTTTTTCACTTTTCTTGCCATCTAAGTCTAGGTCTCATGATGAACGTCTTAATGTCTCTGTCGAGTCTGATACTTCATGATTAATGCTCGTGATTCAACAGACCCCGCACACCTGAGGCCCCTTGTTACGTTAATAGTGGCAAGAAACACCAACAGATTATAGACCTAGTTTAAACTAAGTTGAAAGACGGTATGTCTGAGTAGGGAGAGTGCTGTTAGGAGCCAAATAGGTTCTGTAGACGAAGATCCTATGTCGTTCAGCCCTCATTAAAAAAAAAACAACCCCCCAAAACCCGTACATCCCGTTATTAACTAAAGTAGTAAAATAGATAAGTAAATTTTAATTGAGAAATGTAGTTAAGGAAATGCAGTATTACACACGAGGCTAAAAATAATCAACCATATAATATAGAATAATAATAAATAATAATAAGAAGAAGAAGAAGAAGAAGAAGAGGTTTGAAAGAGGCAAATTAATTTGTTTTAAACTGACTTTTGAATGTCTGTCTTCAAGTGATACAGTGAGGCAAGGTTAAATAGATAAACATGTTCACCAGTTAATGATTATCAAGTTTATTTGTTGTCTATATATAATACGTGTGAGAACAATGGTTTGCAAATTGAAAAAAAATATAGACGACATTAGTCATTATTGTAGCATTATCATTAAAAGACCATCTTTTTCACACACAAATGTTCCAGTGGGTGCAAACTTGACAACATGATACAAAGAATGATGGCAGATTGAATCGGATATAGAAGTATTGAATCTATGAAGTAAGAAATAACAGAAATGGAAAACAAAAATACCACCACCAGATGTTCTGTGCGATATCGCGGTTTGAGAGCAAACAAGTAGGAATTGAAACATGGCCAATATCAAATGAGACTAAATACCTAAACTGGATGGTCGAAAAAGAGAAAAAAACATATCTCCTACCGTTACTACTGGTGGTCTCTGTCGCACCTGTGGATGCAGTAATGATGAATTAGTTGTTGTCAACGTCCTCATCAGCGTTACAGTCAATTATCGTTGATAGATAGTGTCATGATACGATAAACCATTCCCAGAAACCTGGTATCAGGATCCGATAAATATGCAAACGAGGTCGCCTAGGAATACCTGCCATATAAGTTCTATACATTGATAGACCGCCTCCGTGGTCTAGTGGTAGAGCGTCCGCCCGGAGAGTGGAAGGTCCAGGGTTCGATCCCGGGCCGCGTCACACAAAAAGACGTTAAAAGATTGTACTTGTTGTTACCCTGCCTGGCGCTCGGCATTAAGGGGCTAAAACAAGGACTGGTCGGCTCGGAGTCAGTATACTGTGTCTGAGTGGGGTATTCATGTTAAACTGCGGCATGGTATCTCAGTGAGCTAGCACTATAAATCGGCATCAGTCCGGACTAGTACAAGCAGCCACACACACACATACACGTGCATGCACGTCGCTATATAAGTGCAATAATCTTGGACGCGACGTTAAACCCAATTTCACCTCACCATCTATACATTGATGCGATGTCTATTTGCTTAAAAAACGTTTGCCGAACATTCCAAAAGCGTTTATGAGGAGACGGGATTGGGTTGTGAAGCTGGCTGGCATGGTGCATACATATCGTCGTATCCCCATTGCGTATTTCGATGCCAATGATGTCAATCACTTGATTATCTGCTCCAGACTTCATTATTGCCAGACCGCCGTCATATTGCTGCAATATTGCGGAATGCGGCGTCAAACAAGAACCAAACACAAAAGCGATTAAAAAGAGGTGTCCTGATGTTCGACACCTTATGTGTGCATGGATGCACACCATTGGCACTATATAATAAACGGGGCGGTTCGCCCCCTCTTGGTTTGTCAGCACCATACCCGTGCTCGTGGGTTTCACCAAAGTGGTGAACGTCTCAAATCAGCATCACTTGGGGTTATTCTCCTACATGCCAGAGCATCCTCACTCACACATTATTTCGTGTTGGTTTTTTTATAAAATGGCGATGAGAGGAAACAATAGTAAACGATACGTTCAATCTACTCTTTTCTGTTTATATTTCATTGGCTATAACATCACAATACCGTCAATCATTGGATTGTCCGCTCAAAATATATACAGACCGCGTTAAACAACCAGACAAACAAACAAAACATTAAAATACCAACATTTGTTTAAAACGAATTAAATTTCCGACAAAACATGACTAACATTAGCATATTCTGGATTATCCGGTGTACAGTAAACTACGGCTATAACGAACTCAAAGGGACCACAAATTTTAGTTCGTTATAACCGTAGTTCGTTATAAACATATATACAGCATATACACAGCAAATGGCCGGGACCAAAAAACAGTTCGTTATATCCGCCAGTTCGTTATAAGCGTGTTCGTTATAAACGTAGTTTACTGTACTTTATCTGCATTCAGTTATATAAATCCAGGACAATTCGCCACAACATTCATAGGCCTGTTTTAGAAGTCTTTCTGTCCATGCTTTACACCGCGTTCGTTCGGTGGATTCTGGGTTATATTAGGACTGGTTCCTTGCAACCTATGGTGGCAGTAAAAGGCGACCACATGGATCGGGTGGTCATGCTCGGTGACCTGGTTGATAGCGTTTCACCCTGATTGTTACTCATAACATCAATCACTGGATTGTCTGTATTGATACGGGTATATACAAGCCGCCGATACAGAGCTGGGGTACTGCTGATTGCGGCGTTAAACAAGACACAAACAGTTAAGAAGAGTTTCCCGATTGAGACAAAAAATTCTATAAGTACCTGCTAAATTAGAAAAAAAAGTGTATCAAGAGAGTATGTGTTCTTTCTAAAAACATGCAATTCTTAAAATAAGCATGATCTGATTTTGGCCAGGGCATTCAATAAAATTATGTTTCATTCGTTAACCATGAAACAAAATAAACTGACTACTTTAAATACACAAAACCTTTCAGAAAATGGTCAAATGTAACAAATATTACATTTGGGATTACACTTTCGATGCAAAGTACACATTCTGGTACCTTTTTTGGTTGACTTCCATTCGGGAGTGAGGCACGTTGTGTGCTGGTGATTAGGTGCCTCACTCTGAGACTATGCACAAGTTGTACTTACAGCTGCTCCAATAAAAAAATGTAGAAGAAACCACCGCAAAAAAATCCCAGAATCAAAACTACCTTTTGTGTTTGGCGTTACATTAGATGCGTTCCAAGTTCTCGTGGTGGTAGACCCTTGATTTATTCCGACTTTAAATATAGAGTTAAGACTACTGATGATGCCAGCCTTCACTGGAAGTGTTGTCTGGCAGGTTGCCCAGCAACAGTAAACACAGTCAATGACGTTTTTAGTACAGTAAACTACGGCTATAACGAACTCAAAGGGACCACAAATTTTAGTTCGTTATAACCGTAGTTCGTTATAAACATATATACAGCATATACACAGCAAATGGTCGGGACCAAAAAAACAGTTCGTTATATCCGCCAGTTCGTGTTAAGCTTGTTCGTTATAAACGTAGTTTACTGTAGTTCTAGAAATGATCATAACCATCTGAGGATTTTTTCCAAGTTATCAGCTGAATAGTTATAAAATAATTGCCAGAATTTGTAATGACATATGAATACATCACCAGATTTATGCGATATGAATACAAAATTCACTTAATATTTACTATTACTTTATTTATTATTGGCTGGCTATGAACTATAGGTTACAGAGAGAAACAGACTATAACCTAATACCCTATTGTTTTGGGGATTACCCTGCTGAATGATTTCTATATCTGAACAATAGCGACTGGCAATGTGGGAACCTCCACAACAGCACCACCGCCGGGTGGGTTGTCGGCCTTTGCTGTCAATACACGTGCAGTAAACTACGGTTATAACGAACTCAAAGGGACCGCTAATTTTCCGTAGTTCGTTATGAGCATATAGACAGCAAATATACAGCAAATGGGCGGTATCAAAACACATTTCGTTTTATCCGTCAGTTCGTTATAAACGTAGTTTACTGTAGTTTGTTAATACACACTGCATAAAGCTTAACCTCCACCGATCAAAGGGCATAACTCTCTTGTATTTTACAGCGAGTACAAGGTTTTGAGCAGCATCTACAGCAACTTTTAAATAACATGTTGTAATCATGTCCCTTGCATGAATGGGCTGTCTAGATATGGCCTTAGATTGAAGATTCATTTATCATCCAAAATTGGCTTCCACATGAGATATCGCTTGTGTTAGATCAAGCGATATCTCCTAGGAGAAATAGCTACAATGAATTGCATCACAATGGTTTGCACCAGGACACCAGAGGAACGCTAGAAATGTGCTTCACAAATTGTACCCGTCAAGTGGGGAGCGGCATTTAGAGAGATCCCGCGGCAGAATGGGTTCAACATTCCACATGCCTGTTGGGAACAGTCGAGGTTCGAGGTTAGCAGTAATCGTGTTATACCTACATTTTTTCGGGCTTTCTTAAAAAATATAGAGACATGCTATGACATAACTAACATAGTTTCTAAACTCACTCACTCATAACCAGCTAATGAGTATCGGGTGGCTGACAGTGTTTGATTATACTCAGCAGGCATGGATGGTTGCTCATTCTGTCAACCACTTATCTGCGAAGTGGACTCGATTATTATAGGTCGCATGTTTAATCTGGACTATTTCTTAATGCAGAGTAACTAGTTCGTTTATCATGAATTAAACTAAAATAACTGCTTTAATATTAATATGCAGGAGATGCCATTACAAAAATATGATACCAGCCCACACTATCTGTTGTTCTTGACGCGATATCCGGTTTGTTGGTGCTAGATTAATAGCTGCCATTTGGAACAAGAACTATGAGATACATATGTAGATATGATAATTAACTAATCTACTTTATGAATAAATTAATAATTTAAAACTGCGAGTAAATACGATATCATTTCTGAGCAGTGACTATTCAAGCAATGGAGAAGCCGATCAGACAAAACAAAAAAGTATAAAAATGATTTAAAGTCACAGCACAACATATTATTACACTAGTCTTCTAAAATATTACATTTGCCCGATACAGATAAAAGGTATCAATTGAAATGAACCATAAAATACGTATCTTAGGAACTAATGTGTCAGGAACTGCGCTTCTTAAACTTAGTCTAGACCCGCAAAGGTCCGGGTAGAATAGGTCTTCAGCAACCCATGCTTAAAAGCTTCACGAAAAAGGCGACTGTTCTTGTCGTTAGAGACTAACGGGATCGGGTGGTCAGACTCGATGACTTGGCTCATGCATGTCAATGTATCCCAATTACGTAGATCGATGCTCATGATGTCAATCACTGGATTGTCTGGTCCAGACTCGATTACTTACAACCCGCTGTCATACAGCTGGAAGATTGCTAAGTGCGGCGTTAAACAACGAACAAACAAACAAATTTAGCCTGATCTAATTTTGGTCTGCACCTTCAGTTAAATAATGTTTACCCGCCTCGGGAGTATTGTCATTTGTTAACTATGAAATAAACTGAAATAACTGTTTTAACACAAAAAGCTAGGAGAAACCACTACAAGAAAAACCTTGATACCAGCCACAAAACTACCTTCTTTTCCGGGCGTGACAGTAGCATTCCCGGACGTATTGTCAGTCTTTGCTGTGAATACACGTAGTTTGTCGTTAATACAGACTGTAGGCATAACATTTAACCTCCACCGATCAAGTTACAAACGCATTTAATAAATCACTTGTATTATATAGCGAGTAGAATACTTTGCGCGTCATGTGCAGTAAGTTTTATTAAGCTATAGTAAAGTCCCTTGCATGAATAGCCTCGTTATAAGCCAGGCAAGACATGAGCTGAGATTGAAGATACTTGTAATGGTGTCATATAAAGTGAAGGTCTTCGCTAGCGTCTGCGAAAGGACATGGCTACAGTGAAACCCCTTTGATCCGGACTGTATCACTCCAATGAAGTCCCCAAACAAAATCGTCGGATTAAGGAATGCCGTGTACGAATAATGAACATGCATGTATGCATGTACACGTTCCGAAAATACCCGCCCGGAAGGTGGGGTTTCTGCATTAACGAGTTCCGGATTAAGGAGGCTTCACTGTATGCTTTCATCATTTACGATATCTCGTTTTCGATGTAAGTGTATGGTACTGCAATAATCCGTAGAAGCTCTGTGGTATAGACAACGGATAAACCGACATAAATTAAACTGCAGGTCAAAAGAAAGTATACACTTGAAAATTTGATTTAAACTAAAAAACATAAACGTTACTGGGATGAAACAGTCGCCGAAACGCTGCAAACGGACCAAAACACAATTATGATACCATATGAAATACATCACCATCGAATAACCATTTCTTGTTCGATTAATTTTAGCCACCATCAAACATTAGCGTATACTTTCGTTTGCCCGGCAGTTTATATTCAAACTAGCACTTCGTTATCATGCTTGTTTAAGTCTTACAGTAAGCTGCAGTTGCTTTAAAATGAATGACAAAAAATGAAATGGAACAGTGAGGTATATACCTGTCTCCGAAGACGTAGCGTTGGCTGTGGCGTTTGATGCGGCTGGAAGACATTGACGGTGACTTTTAATACGTCAACAGAGTTCAACTATATTTCATAATAATCACACTAATGCAAATAATTGCAAAAAATGTCTTTGGAAAGCAGAGCCGATTGTACGATTCCGACTATATCATGAACATGTGTTTATTATCAAATTGTGATAATACCAGGTGTTCGCAAAAAATGTTAGCGTATCCTGTCCAACCTGGGAAATTAGATGTGTCGACGTGCATACATGTGTGTGTGTGTGTGTGTGTGTGTGTGTGTGTGTGTGTGTGTGTGTGTGTGTGCTCACTCCCAGCCAGCCAATCCTTGTTTCAGGCCCTTAATGCCGAGTGTCAGGCAGGGTAACAACAAGTACCATCGTTGAACGTGCTTCGTTATAACGCTGCCGAGGATCGAACCCTCGACCGTACGCTCTCCTGGAAGACGCTATATCTGCTACACCACGGGAGCAGTCCTATCTCCATGTAACCATGAGCGATAATTATTATTACATGATATAAAAGATGGTTACATTCATTTGATAAAATAATCATTAGCACAACCTTGATTTACATGTAGTCATACACACTGATTATGTTCATGTGTCTGTCGGGAACATACACGTGCTCGTGAGAAGCACCACAGTGGTAAACGTGTACACTTGCCATCACTTCGGGCTTCCCGGGACATAAATATTGTTCAAAGGGGACACAGCTCGAACTCACTCTTTCACTCAATGAATAGCAAGTACAATAATATTTCGGAAGTCTGAAAAATGGGGAATAACGTATTTCTAGTGAAAACAAAAGTATCATAGCACCTCAACCGCCTGATCGAGGAGAAAATATACCCAGAGCCCCGTTTCACGAAGATATCTTCGTGTAGACCAAAACCGTAATGGAGTCGAGAGCCTCAACTGTTGAAGTCTTATGTATTGATTCGACTGATGGTTAATGCGATTAGGAATTAGAATTCATATACAGCTATGAATATATAAAAGTACACTTTCAATTTCTTTCGCCACAAATAAGGTCATTAAGATTAAAAAAGTACTAAAATGCATGTGTGTAATGCTGCAAAAATGTGTGGGTGTTTTTGGATATGTTTGAATAGTTTGAAAATCTGTGGCTCTTTAAATAGTTGTGGATCTATTTGGAGAGTTGTAGTATGTTTGAATAGTTGTGGGTATGTTTGAATTGTTGTGGAAATGTTTGAATAGTTTGGGATATGTTTGAATAGTTGGGAATATGTTTGGATAGTTGTGGAAATGTTTGAATAGTTGTGGATATGTTTGAATAGTTGTGGATATGTTTGAATTGTTGTGGAAATGTTTGAATTGTTGTGGAAATGTTTGAATTGTTGTGGATGTGTTTGAATACTTGTGGACATGTTTGAATAGTTGTGGAAATGTTTGAATAGTTGTAGAAATATTTGAATAGTTGTGTGGACATGTTTGAAAAGTTATGGATAGGTTTGATTAGGTGTGGGCATGTTTAAATAATTGTGGATATGTCTGAATAGTTGTGGAAATGTTAGAATAAATGTGGGGATATGTTTGGAAAGTTATGGATATGTTTGAATAGATGTGGATATGTTTGAATAGATGTGGAAATGTTTAAATACTTGTGGAAATGTTTGAATAGTTGTGGACATGTTTGAATAGTTGTGGGGACATGTTTGGAAAGTTATGGATAGGTTTGAATAGGTGTGGACATATTTGAATGGTTGTGGATATGTTTGAATAGTTATGGAAATGTTTGGATAGTTGTGGAAATGTTTGAATACTTGTGGACATGTTTGAATAGTTGTGGAAATGTTTGAATATTGTGGACATGTTTGAATAGTTGTGGACATGATTGAATAGTTGTTGGGACATGTTTGGAAAGTTATGGATAGGTTTGAATAGGTGTGGACATATTTGAATGGTTGTGGATATGTTTGAATAGTTATGGAAATGTTTGGATAGTTGTGGAAATGTTTGAATACTTGTGGACATGTTTGCATAGTTGGGGATATGTTGTGAGATTCGTGAGAAGTTTTGGAAAGGTGACATTTTTGCACAGGTTTTATTTACATCGCTCAGACTTTCCATATCATGATTGGAAATGTTGAGTTTGTTCCAGTGTGTTATGAGCTCCCACCACTCCTAGGGATTTATAGTACTACGATGTTAATAACATTTTGTAACACCCCACCATGAAATAGGATAGTAATGAAACAACACATTGTTGATCCCTTAACCACGGATATGACAGCGATTACTCACAAGAGTGTCATAATGATCGGCTAGGTAATGGTACAGTTATTGCTCACGTGTGTTTTATATTGCCGAATCTACTCACAGGGCAGTAACAGTTCACGAGATATTCATGATTGTTATACAAGTTATTGGATACTTATCCTGAGCTGCTTGGACTGTTATAATAATAACCTGTAATGGAGTAGTAATTGCGCCCAGTAATACCATGACAGTTTGAACACAGAAGTATCTTATCCAACACAGAAGTAAATGACGTCATCATTGAAATATTACTTAAACCAAGTATACTTTAACACACATATATAGTGACACTTCGTATCACCATTAATTACTAGGCTGAAAACATTGTTTGGACGACAGCTCGAACATAACGTTGTCACAGAAAAGTATTATGACAGTACTGTTATATCAGTGTTATTATTTTACCCCAAGTAACCAAGTAGAACGGCTGTACTGTTACATCAGTGCTATAAGAATACCATCACCATGTAGAACGACTGTACCCATATGTCGTTCTTATGACAGTACCATAACGAAGTATAACGAATATACCGTTATATCAATGCTATAAAAATACCATCACCAAGTATAACGACTGTACCCATATGTCATTGTTATGACAGTGCCATAACCAAGTATAACGACTGTACCTATATGTCATTGTTATGACAGTGCCATAACCAAGTATAACGACTGTACCTATATACCAATTATTATAACAATACCATCATCAAGTATAACGACTGTACCTATATGCCAACGTTATAACAATACCATCACAAAGGATAACGACTGTACCTATACGTCAATGTTATAACAATACCATCACCAAGTATAACGACTGTACCTATATGCCAATGTTATAACAATACCATCACCAAGTATGACGACTGTACCTATTTGCCAATGTTATAACAATACCATCACCAAGTATGACGACTGTTCCTATACGTCAATGTTATAACAATATCACCACCAAGTCCAGCGACTGTACTGTTATGTCAGTATTGAAATGTTACCATCACCAAGTACGACCACTGTGCCGTTAACTAAAAATGTAAACGTACCCAAGTATAAAGGAATATGTAATCAGGTTTATTGCTATTACGTATATGTGTATCTCCACCGGGTGAACCTGCACCGATTGTAACGCTAACGGTACCTGGCTGTGGGGCGGCTGTTGAAGTGTTGGAACCTCCGGCTGACGTTGCGGGACTCACAGTGTCAGCTGTCAACACAATGGTAATATTCAGTTCATAACCAAGTATGACGAATATACCGTTATGTCAATGCTATAAGAATACCATCACCAAGTGTAACGACTGTATCTATATGTCATTGTTATGACAGTATCATAACCAAGTATAACGACTGTACCTATTTGCCAATGTTATAACAATACCATCACCAAGTATAACGACTGTACCTATATGCCAATGTTATAACAATACCATCACCAAGTATAACGCCTGTACCTATATGCCAATGTTATAACAATACCATCACCAAGTATACCGCCTGTACCCATATGCCAATGTTATAACAATACCATCACCAAGTATGACGACTCTACCTATACGTCAATGTTATAACAATACCATCACCAAGCATAACGACTGTTCCTATATGCCAATGTTATAACAATACCATCACCAAGTATGACGACTGTACCTATATGCCAGTGTTATAACAATACCATCACGAAGTATGACGACTGTACCTATACGTCAATGTTATAACAATATCACCACCAAGTCCAGCGACTGTACTGTTATGTCAGTATTGAAAGTACGACCACTGTGCCGTTAACTAAAAATGTAAACGTACCCAAGTATAAAGGAATATGTAATCAGGTTTATTGCTATTACGTATATGTGTATCTCCACCGGGTGAACCTGCACCGATTGTAACGCTAACGGTACCTGGCTGTGGGGCGGCTGATGAAGTGTTGGAACCTCCGGCTGACGTTGCGGGACTCACAGTAACAGCTGTCAACACAATGGTCATTCAGTTCAAAGTATTGACGTACTCTTTGTTTAGAATGTTAATACAGTGGCAAAATGAAGAAAACTCAAGCGAACGGTTGTCCTATATGTATAGTACTCAATCGTTGTAAACGTTGTCAAACAGGCGACACATTTACCGACATCGCAGCAGGCCATTCTAAACGTAACCATGTCGTCCCTGATAGTACTCCACTTTTAACAGGAATATTTTTCCATGAAACACAAAACTGATTCTCATGATATGTCAAGTGTATATGCTTTGTTTGTGGTCTTGCACCGCACTCAGCAATAATCCAGCTATATGAAGGCGGTCTGTAAATAATCGAGTCTGCACCAGATAACCCAGTGATTTACATCATGATCATCGATCCGCGCAATTGGGATACGATGACAGGCATCAACCAAATCACTGAGTCTGACCACCCGATCCCGTTAGTCGCCTCTTACAAACTGTATATGATAATAGATCGATATATCTGATCATCTCTATCAAAGGTTGGGTTAACGTTGTATTATATATCTGTTTGAGAATGCGTTTTCATGGGTATGTTTTGTGTATTCCTTGCAAATGCTTACAAAGGGTATCCAATCAATCTTCTTTGTCATGCATTATGCTGCAGCGGATTATTTGCGCGGCGGGGATCACAGAGGCTTAATGAGATTGCTTTGTTCATCTTCATGCGCGAAGGTCATTAAAAAGCGTGGAGGAAAGCTGTAGGTTTGTTTTGTTTTGATTTCTTTGCTCCAAACACACAGGCTGCCATCACGGGAGAGGAACCTAGTGGCACAGGTATTGTTGTGCATGTGGTTTGTGGCTTTTATGGTGGACTTGCCGCTGAAGAGGGTAATGGTTTGGTTTGACGCCCCTTTGAACTGTATTAAAGTTGGAGTTTGGTGTGGGAGGAAGGCTTGATAAGATGCAGTCGTGGACCTCTTCGAGATTGGTGGACGCCACGAGCATGGGGGTTCGGCGCTGTCAAACCTCTTCATAGGGAACGTCTCACACGAGTGAGTTCCTGTGTCCATGAAACCACTTTGTGGTCATAGAATAAGAGAATGTGAGTGTTTTATTAAAAAATATCAATATCTGTATGAATATGTACTAAAGGCTATACCTGTCGTTTAATATTGTATTGCGCGTTATTGTCGACGATGATTCAGTGAAGCAGCTGTTCAGTGAGACGTGCCCTACTTGTGAAGTCAACCACAAAATTACTTGCGAGAACTATATTCCGGGATCATGTCATGATCAGCTCTTATGTAGATTACACGGTAATACAAACAGGGAAGGGCACTGTTCTCGCCAGCATATGATGTCACCATTTTCCAGTGATTCGTGAATGTATTGTTTTCAAACCTAATTCTTCTATCGTGATAGACCATACATTGTACTTTCAATGTGTGAGTGAGGCGTAAAACACCAAAAATCACAAACACGAGTTAAAACCATTATTATGTCACGGCAAAAACCAAATCAATATGCTGTCATAGCCGGTACCATTTTTGTGGGTGTGGGGTGTAGGGTGGGGTGTGAGTAGGGACGTGGGTGGGGTGTTTAGGGTGTTCTTTACATATTAAAATGGGGAGTGGTCACAGCTGGATCATTCACTAATCAGGTTTGGATCTTGGTTCGATCATGTTTGAATCTTGTTTGGATCTTGTTTGGATCATAGATTGGGCCATGTTTGGATCTTATTTGGATCATGGTTGGATCATTGTTTTGGCCATGTTTGGATTATGTTGAGATCATGTTTGGGTTTTGTTTGGATGCTGAATGACACTAGGGCTTTGGCTTGAATGTATCACGCATTATGTACGTTAATGTATTCTTGTGTGATATTCATTTATTTATCTCACAGAGTAGATCAAGGTTTAACAAACAATGTTTGCTCTCACTCACCTATCACTCTGCCACACACTAACACACATCTATTCATCAATGTGTATCTTGCCATTGATTTTACACCCTGTAGGACTGAGCTGCACAGAGTTGATTACAGTGGCACATCACGTCGACCTCACAGCAACTCAGCACAATCATGAACGGGAGGCGGATAGGCAGACATTGCTTGACAGCATTTTAATCATCATCTACTCAGCAGCAAATATAACGTGCATCTTTACGCGACGTTGTAAATCCTTACCGATAGGGCAGCCTGAACGACGACACAATACTTATGTTAAACATTTTCTCAATTTATACCTATGTGCATACAGTGTGGAGTACATGTGTACATCACCCACCTGGTTGTATATGCACAACACGTGGCTTCACATGTCTACCACGTGGTTGTACATGTCTATATCACGTGGTTTTAGACATCTCAACTACGTTTTACGTTGTACATATCTGCCACAGGGTTGTACACATCTATCACGTGGTTGTACATATCTACCACAAGGTTGTACATATCTACCACAAGGTTGTACATATCTATCATGAGGTTGTACATATCTATCATGTGGTTGTTCATGTCTACCTCGTGGTTGTACATATCTGCCACAAGGTTGTACTCATCTATCACGTGGTTGTACATATCTATCACGTGATTGTACATATCTATCATGTGGTTGTACATATCTATATCACGTGGTTTTACATATCTAAACTACGTTTTACGCTGTACATATCTGCCACAAGGTTTTACACATCTATCACCTGGTTGTACATAGCTACCACCTGGTTGTACATCTCTGACACGTGGTTGTACATATATATTCCGTGGTTGTTCATATCTACCCGATAGTTGTACATATCTACCCCGTTATTGTACATATATAGCACGTAGTTGTACATATCTAACATCTGGCTGTACATATAAACCCCGTGTTTGTTCATATCTACCCCGTAGTTGTACATATATATCACGTGGTTGAACAGACCCATCCCTTGGATAAGCATTTCTACTACGTGGTTGTCTAAATATACACCGTGGTTGTACATATGTACCACGTGGTTGTACTTATCTATCACGTGGTTGTTCATATCTAACAGTTGGTTGTACAAATCTATCACCCGGTTGTACATATTTATCACCTGGTTGTACATATCTTCAACATGACTGTACATATCTATCACTTGGTTGTACATATCTACCCCGTGGTTGTTCATATATATCACCTGGTTGTACATATCTATCACCTGGTTGTACATATCTATCCCGTGGTTGTTCATATCTATCACGTGGTTGTTCATATATATCACCTGGTTGTACATATCTATCACCTGGTTGCACATATCTAACACGTGGTTGTACATATCTATCACATAGTTGTACATATATATCACGTGGTTGTACATATCGAACAAACACCTGGCTGTACGCAAAAACCCAGTGGTTGTTCATATCTACCCCGTAGTTGTACATATCTACCCTGTTATTGTACATATATAGCACGTGGTTGTACATATCTACCATGAAGATGAACATATCTATCACCTGGTTGTACATATCTATCACCTGGTTGTACACATCTATCACGTGGATGTACATATCTAACACCTGGTTGTACATATCTAACACCTGGTTGTACATATCTAACACCTGGTTGTACATATCTAACACTTGGTTGTACATATCTATCATGTCGTTGCACATATCTATCACATGGTTGTACATATCACCCACGTGGTTATACATATCGAATCTGCGGTTGTACATATCTACCACATGGTTGTACCAACCCATCCCTTGTACAAGCATTTCTACCACTTTGTTGTGTATATCTGCCTGGCTGTACAACAGCTTATATAAATAAGCTGTTTTTATCAGCTATGCTTATTTGTCACGACAATGTAGATCTACCGGTTGTATATGTCTGAGTAAGCATAAACATATCTGCCAAATTGCATTATACGAGGATGTAAATACCATGGATCTCCCTGGCTATGTGATTGCACCTGTCTGCGCCCGTGTTGCTTATAGCTGACACGAGGCTGTTCCGAGGTGACACCTTAAATCACACGTTGCACGTATAACAAGCACATTTCAACGCAGCCGACTACAATAAAGCTAGGCGCGTATGAATACGAAATCCCGAGAATGAGATCCTGCCGCGCGGGTTGACACCGAGCTTGGCCAGACCGGCTGATGGAGACGTTGGACTGACGGGGGATATATTTATCAACTTCGTATCAAGTGTGACTGAGATATCAAATAGTTCCTTTGCATCAACACTAATCTCCAGAAATCGATAACAACTTCATCCGCTACACGCACACGTCGGGGAAAGGGTGGTGGAGACGTTGTCGGGGCTGGCGCTGCTACTGGTGCACACAGGCGGGGGCTTTCTCAATAATGACTTTCGACATTGCCAATAAAGTGTCGCCTTAATATGTCAAAGTATCGTTCAGAACAGAATCCAATATTACGCTTACCTATTCTAAAGTGTGTGAATATGGTTGGATAGTAAGATACTGATTGGTGTGTGTGTGTGTGTGTGTGTGTGTGTGTGTGTGTGTGTGTGTGTGTGTGTGTGTGTGTGTGTGTGTGTGTGTGTGTTGGGCGGGGGATGGGGGGGGGAGGTGGTGGTGGTGGTCGGGGGGGGGGGGGGGGGGGGGGGGGGGAATGTTTAATTTGACCTTGTCTTCACACTCTGAAACTAACCCCACTTACCTCACTCTCATCCACACCAACCCCTCTCCGCAGCCCCATCCCCATGTCATTCACTCCCACCCCCCTCTCCTCCACCCCAACCCCCTACTGTTAGCAGCACCCCATCTCTACCAGCCCCCACACCCCTCTCCGCAACCTCAGCCTGTTCTACACTGATCTCACCCCCATCACAACCCGCCCACACACACACCCTCCACCACCTCAGACCTCTACACTGACCCCTCCCCCATCACAGCCCGCCAACACACCCCTCTCCACCACCTCAGCTCTCTCCAATAACCCAAAACCCATCGCAACCCGCCCACACACACCCTTCACCACCTCAGGCCTCTCCACTGACCCCACCCCCATCACAACCCGCCCACA